TGTAATAAAAAATTTGGTAAATTTGGTAAATTTATTTGTTATAAAAAATTTGGTAACTATTTATAATTATTATTTATTATTACTATTATTATACATTATTATATTATAATTATTGTTATTCTTATAAAATAATAATATAAATAATAATAGCAATGTATATTAATTTTATATATATTAAAAAACAACTAATTTTATATCCAACTTTATATATCTTATAAAACACTAAAATAGTTACCAAATTTTTTTTTATGTGAACGTCAAATTTTACATAATGAACGTCAAATTTTACAAAATAGTCGGAAGCAAAGCCTCTCAATAAAACTGCTGACTTAATTAGATTCTTCTTTATATGAAGTAATTTATTGGCCTGGGTTCATTATAATGAAAACTTAAAAAGTCATCTTTTATGCATATATTTTTAAATTTATTATTTGGTTCTATGTTTATGTATCCACGCAACAACTCGTGTTAAGTATTTCTTTAAAGGTTTTATGTCCTTCAAATCGACTGTCAAAAAAAGATACTTTAATAAAAACAGTAATAGTCACAACGGTTTTTGTTTAAAAACAACAAATGTACATTAGTTTTTTTTACCACTGGAAGCGCTATAATGACATATCAAAGCGTGTAAAAGTGTCTGTAATTAAGATACTTATTAAATAAAGTTTCAGGGACGTTTTCGAAGTTTCAGGGACGTTTTCCTCAAAGACCAAAGAAAACAAATGACAGATTGGTGAGACATGTGAAGCATGTTATTGAGAAAAATTGTAAGATTTCATCATTTGGAATCAAGGAATAATTACAATATGAAAAAGCTCTTTACATCAGTGCAAGATTAATAAAGCTCCTTTTTTTTTTTTTTTTAATTTTTTTTTTTAAAACCTGCTTTGAATGAAAAAAACGCACAAAATAGTTGCAAGAAAGTTTGAAATTTTTTCAAGAAGTTTACAAAAAGAACAGAGACGGAGAAAAACTAGGAGAAAGTAATATTTTTAGATAAAAGCAAGTTCCAACTGTTTAGCACGTTTTGAAACTATGTAAGAAAACAAAAAGGGCAAAAGTATTTCAACAAATATACGGCGCCTACTGTAAAACATCAACATTCTACAATAGCATAGGGTTGTTTTTTCTGCACGAATCCGTGGTTGTCTCCATTTAATGCTAAAAAAATAATGCCCCCTGCCACTTTTCCAAGTTTATGCAGATCTTTTTCAATCCAATCAAAAACCTATGGACAATTCTCAAACATAAAGCCAGAAATAAAGTGCTTCAGAATGTAAAAGATCTGCAAAAAATTTGTTTGGGTAAATTAAAGTTAAAGTTGGGTAAAAGAGATATCACAAGACATTTGTCTTCAACTAATCTACAGTATGACTTGTCGTATAACCTCTGTTTTGAAAAACCTTAGTTATCATACAAAGTATTGACATTATTGCCATAATTTTTGAATAATTTACTTAATAAATGTATTCTAGTGCTTCTTTGTTATTCAGATGTGAAATTTAAATACCAAGATGCTATATTTTCTTTGTTTTCTGCAAAAATGACATTAAATTTAAATTTTTCTTTAAAGCACTAGGTGATTCCAAACCTTTAGCCATAATTGCAGTAAATAAAAAAAGGATGAAAATTCTTTTTACCCTAACACTAGTAGATATAAGAAAGTCTTATGTAGTTTTATCCAAATACTTTCTTCACTCTTCTACTTCAGTAAGAAATGTACATATCATACTTTTTCAGTAATTAAATGTACATATCATACTTTTTCAGTAATTAAATGAGACTTGATTAAAATGATTAAAATTGATTAAAAACAAAATACATAAAAATATAGTCAGATAGCACATAAATACTTGCTATAATTGAATGTCTTTAAAATTTACAAAACTTGTTCAATAAAAAAGTTCACAAATATTTTAAATAAAAAAACTTTTTCTGAAACTTAAAAGCACTACAATATGAAGTAGTTATTGCACACTTTTTTTTTTTCAATTTATCACAGATGTAAAAAAAACTTTGCGTTATTAAATTTTCTGCTAAAATATTCACATGTCCCATCTCACCCCAATCTCCTCTAAATATATAATTAAATTCAAAGTCACGGAAAATAAAATAGCATAAAAGAAAGTATAGAGCTACAATACTCGGAATGAGAACCAGTTTCAGTGTCTGGTAAGTTAAGTAAAGAAAAAGATAAAGATAATGAATATTACTGAAAATGACTAAAAAATACTGTTTCAAACAAAATTTGGAGTTCTGGTTTAGAACCAAAAAGTTTGAGGTTCATGCGTTTTTATTGGCTATTTAGTTTTCAACTAAATAGCTAATAATAATAAAAAAATTAATAAAAAGGATAGTGAGGAGCAGTTTTTTAGTTTGATTGATGATTGAACAATTTTATAAACTGATACTTAAAAATTGTTTATTGATTTATATATAGATATTTTTGTTTCAAAAAATGAATTTAGTTTTATTACGACAATATTATGTGAATTGCTAACTGTTAAATCAACTGTAGAAGCTTTATTACAACCAAATTATTTATAGTTTAATAAACATGAGATAATTCAAATTATTTTGTCTCTTTTTAGACGCTAAGATGTTATAAGATGTTATAAATAAGAGTGAATGGACAAATCCCAGTAAGCACAAGACGCATTTTAGACACTTATAGACGACTAAAACAAGTCTAGGTAAAGACGCACTTTTGTAGACGTTTTGAAGACATCTTTTAGACGTCTTTCATGAATGCGTTTTTAAAATGACGTTCAAAAAGCGTCTTTTTAAAAGATAAAAAGACGTCTAGAAGACGTCAATTTTCAAGACATCTTCTAGACGTCTTTTATAAAGGCGTTTTTAAAATGACGTCTTTTTAAAGTTTAAAAAGACGTTTAAAAGACGCATAATAAATAGTCTAAAAGACGCATTAAAAGACGTCTAGATCAAGGCTAAAAGACGTCTTTTCTGAGACCTGTTTGTAAATATGTCATTATGACTTCTTTTTGACGGCTTTGTCATTACGCGTTAAGTAGATGTCGTATATTCAAAGTAAAAACATAGTTTTTATTATTTTCAATAATTTGTTCAATGTTTAAGTGTAAATTACTTTAAATTAAATTACTTTTTTACACAATTGCTAAAATTGTTGTCACAGGAATCACTAAAATAATTGCTATAATATTAATATATCTTTTTTTTATTAATAATTATTTTGCTTTTTTAATAGATAGTTGACTGATCATGATAATAAGTGAAAATGGCAAGAATAATATATAAAATAAATATCAGTATTTTTAGTTTTTATACACCCACAAGCCATATAATAAGTCAAGTATGCGCTCAAAAAATAGTTACCGATTCGTATTTTAAATTTTACAATATCTAAAAAAAAAGTTATAAATGGTTAAATACTGTTTTGATATATTATTGTTATTGTTATTTATTATTTTCATCTTTGCAGCATCAACCGTTGGTGGTGATAGCTATATATTATTTAGATTGCTGGTTCCTATGCATATTTTGTATAAACAAAATTATAACAATATATGACGTATAAACACAATGAATATATACCACATACTACGCGAAAATGTTACGTCATGTACTTAAAATAAACGTCTAAAATACGTCTAAAACGCGTTTTTATAAAGACGTCTTTATTTGGACGTCTTTTAGCCTTATGATCTAGACGTCTACAAGTGCGCTTTTTAGACCTCCTTAAAGACATCTTTAAAACGTCTTTTAAACGTCTTTGTGCTTACTGGGATAATTGAAACGAAGAGTTTTTTAGTTCTTTTAATTTGTGTATTAAATAATGTATATAGTTTTTTTTTGCTTGCTGGTATCGCTACTATTAGTAATTCCATTTTTTCCCCATTAAAACACTGTATTGAAGCTCTTTTCCTTTGTATCGATCTCAAATCGATCTCAAAGCCGTAGCAAAGTGGTTAAAGCACTTGCCTCGAGTGCTTTAATCGAGTGGCTTTAGTTTTAACGCCAGCTCTAATGATATCTGCATCATCGTTAAAAAAAGCATTAGCTTCCTATTTAAATGATCTTTCACGATGCTTTGTGAAAAAACTGTAAGGGGCCATCCTTAAAAGACGTCATCCAAATAGGGGGGGGGGATCTAGTTTAAAAGGAAAAAAAAGGACAAGGGGAGGGGGAGGGAGGTTGTCAGAAAAGGACGTCACTTTATAGATTTTTTATTTTTGTTTAATTAACAATGGAAAACTACATAAACATGTGTTTTTGAGAAGATAATATATAAGAATAATTTTAATTATATTTTTTAAAGGTGTAGCAGCAGATTCAAACATCATTGCAAGATGAAATAAATTTTTCTGGAGTTAAAAAAAGGGAAGGGGGTCAGAATTTTATGACGGGGGGGAAGGGGGTCAAAAATTGGCTTGAAAATGGTGACGTCCTTTATGGATGGCCCCTAAGCACTTCTTGGGGCACCTTAACAAACAAATTAGAAAAAAAATAATTATAATAAAATACCTAATACTGGATGAATTTTTAATTTTAAAAAAAATCAAAAAAATTTCCGGTTAATACCCAATATATATATTTTTTGTGTGTGTTTATTATGTATATATTTTGTGTGTGTGTTTACCAATATCTTTATTGAATGCGTATGTATTGTATATATGAATGTTTTTACTACGGTTTTATCAGAGACACCGTGGAAAAGCATTTTACTAAAAAGTCCAATATTGCTTATTGGGCTAGAACCAGCCTCAAACCACAAAACACTTGGTTCTGAGCCAGAATTAAAATCATTGCGCCATGGCTGCACTTTTACTTATAAAATCTAAACGTGTTAGATTTACATGCTTTAGTTTATTTTATTTAAAAAACTAACGAATGGATAGAAAAAAATAAATAAGTAAACAAATAGGTGGTCAACACCTTATAAATAAAGAATTATGCTTTAATTTTAACTTCAGGTATAACACGAGTTTTTACAATTTCTGTACTCATAAAAGAAACCGTGATTATAAAAAAATTTATTGTAATTTCCAATATAAATTTTTACAACAAAAGTGCAGCTTAAGTGTCATAACAAATGACAACATAAAACATTATAAACAAGATAAAACAATATAAACAAATAACAAGATTAAACAATATAAACTAAGAATAAATGCCTAATAAAAAATGTTTGCTTGAAAAAAAATAGTGCGTAACTTAATAATAATATAAAATATTTATTAGTCATTGTTATTTTACGCATCGATAATAAAATTATTCAAAACGTTACTGAAATAAGCAGATTAATTTTTTCGTAATAAGAAAAAAAAAAAATGATATTAGTGCACTAATATACCAGTGCTGTGTAAGGAGCAATGTATTTGGTAACAAAATAATTGTTCACCGCCATTATTCAAAGTAGCTTTTATTTCATACTCTCCCTAATAAAAGTGTTAAAGCATTAATATACGCATGCTTCTCCATAAAAAAAAAAAAAATGAGTCTTAAATAATAGCATTAGATATAGGTGTATCGAAAAACATTTTATTTCTTTGAATTTCATTTTGCAATAAAGCAGAAAAGTTGCATAATGATATAAATAGTAATTGTGCTAAATTTTTTATTTCTAATGTATTCAATTGGCACCAATTCAAGGGATTGTTTTTTATTTTAAAAAATCTTGTTTTTAGCCGTTTTTTACAAAACAAAATAAAATACTCTATGCATATATAAGATTTGTAATAGAGTTTAAATATTACACAAATCCCAGCCAGTACAAACACGTGTTTTTAGAATCAAAAATGTTAACACCTTTAGACGTCTAAATTTAGATAACTATAAAACATCTAATTGTATTTATCTTTTAGGCGACGAAAAGTAGCAAACTCAAACCGTCTAAAAGATGACTACTAATAGATGCCTTATATTTATCTGAATTTAGATATCTAAAAGTGTTAACATTTTAGATGCGAAAAAAAACATCTAAAAGACATGTTTGCGCCTGCTGGGATGACTCAGTTAAAAATATTTATAATTTTTAAGAAAATATGTCTTCAGTTGCTGCTAGAAGGCTGGGTTTTTACAAAAAAACAATTTTTCGTGAGTTTTTGCCAAACAAGCTCCGCAGTCCATAATATACAACCAAAGTTTTAATAGAGATGAAAAGTTCTACTATGTTTAAACTTTAGCTATAACAATTCTGATTCATTTGTCTCTGTCTGAAACTACCAGTTTTGTATTGAATACAGGCATTATTTTTCGCGATGCAAGCCTTGAAAAATGACTATTTCTATTAACCGAACCGCAAACTTAATATGAAGTCTCGGTTACCAATTTAATGCATCTCTCTACTCGTTGAGTATGGCATAGAAAAGGCTGCACATCTGGAACATAAACAATTGTTACCATTTCTATTAGAATTTTAAATGAGGTGTGAGCGGTAATCAAAGGTTTATTGAGTTACATTTTTGATCAATTAGGTGTATGTAATCTTTTGATTCAAATTTGATTTCTAATATGAAGAACTTTTGAGCTTTGTTTATTTCCATAGATCTTGCTTCCATTATTTGTTGTAATACCAAATTTCTCACAGGCGGGAGAGTATCCAATATCATAGCAAGAAGCTTTCCGAATGCGCAAAAAAGCATTCCTTTGTATCCCTGGATCAATGATAGTTTTTATGTCACTATTGACATACCTGGACAATTTAATGGTTAGTCATAAATATATCAAACTTTTGAAATGTTATAATTTTGGACTTTATTTTGTCTGTATATTATGTTTTGTTTTCTAATAAGTATATTATGTTTTGTTTTGTTTTGTAAATTTGATTGTAATCAAGAAACATTTTCACAATGCATTTATGAGACACAGTTGAAGTCAATGTTTTTCTCCACAAATCTTCTATTTTGTGCATCATATTTGTTCAATATCCACATTTTACTGAAAATGAGTTGTCGTTACAAAACTTCATTTTAAGATTGTTCAATATTTACTATAAAATATAGAGTTGACATTGCTTATCAAAATTTAAAAGATAAAATATTATTTATTTTATTTTGTTCAATATTCGGATATTGAACAAACCAATATCTTTATTGAATGCGTGTGTATTGTATATTTAAATGTCTTTACTACATTTTTAAAAAATGTAGTAAAGACATTTAAATCGTCAAATTAAATTAAAAAGACATTTCCTTATTTTAATGAAATCTTTAGTCGAACTGTTGCTCTCCACAAAATAAAAACTTAGTTATGAGTTAATAATTACTTAATTTTTTATAGTCAAAAGACAGTAGCATTGAAATCATAGAACAGAAATTTCTGAGCCATGAGGTAACTTACAAGAGATTTATGCATAACACAGTCTTATGGAGCGTTACATTAAAAAAAAAATTATAAAATACAGTTTAGTTGGTCTGAGTTGACCAACTAAACTGTATTTAAAAAAATGCCAACAAAGTAAATTAATTTCTAAATAATGTCACAGATTTTCTATCACTATATAAACTATCAAAACGAAGCTTTTTTTTCTTTTTTTTTAAATTCCTTACTCGAAAATAAAATGTATTGTGTACGATAAAAGTGTACGATAAATGTGTACAAAAAAGCACAAAAGCAAAAGTTTTTAAGGTATGTATGAAATACAAAGTAACAAAAAATCTACTGAATTAATGTAATTGCAAAATATTAAAAACAAAAAGAACCATAAAAGAAAAAAACAACAGCAAATAAGACTGTTAATAAGACTTTATAAAACCGTAGATAATATTATAACCATAACACAGTTCTTCAAATTTGTAACAACTTATATGTTGAGTAAAGAATTTTTCTTTGGTTTATTTTTTGCTATTTCATTTTGTAAAGTTGTTATAGCAAAAATGATTTTATATTAGATGTGATTATGTATTGCTTTGTTAGTTATCCTGAATTTTATTCAAAATTCAATAAAATTAATAAAGATTTGTAATCAGTGCAATTTTGTTTAAAGTCCAAATAAGATATGAGAATATACTTTTAATTTTAGACTTTTAATATCATTTTATTAATAATTTTAATACAAAGATAATGCATTAAAATAACTAAACTAGACACAAACAAAATATGAGAGCAGTATTATCCTCTAAAACCTTGTTATACCAACAATAAGTTAACAGGCCTGTTGAAAAAATTAGTTCTCAGGTGTCGATATTTGAATGTTGGCAAGATATTTTCGCGTAAATCTGCTGGTAAACCAAAGATAGGGCAAGTGGACATTCTCCTTGTTGTCACTGCAGCAGAAGGCATTCCATTGAATTTTCATTCAAATTTTCTTTGACTTCAAATTATTTTACTAATAACTAAAAAAGTAAATCAGAACTAATAAATTATAAGCTGTGCTTTAAATAATGCGGTAAATAATACTGACGGTGATGGTTTTTTTTTGTTATATAAATGATCTGATCTGAGCAGGTAGCAAATAATACTGATATTGATGGTAATAACTGACGTAATTAGTGATATTACGTAACTAACGTAATTAGTGACATAACTAATAAAGTTACAATTGTAGTTGCACTTCAATGCAATGTTTATAATGAAATCATTAAAAAAAATTCTTAAAAATTGTAAACATTTTTATCTGAACTATATTTTAATTTTATATATGGATAGAATTTGTTATTTTTGTTTTGTATAAAATAACAGAAAACCTGATTTAAAAAAACAAACTCTGGCGCCAACTGAAGACATCATGAAATCATTTTAAAAGTTAATACAATTACTATTTATATAATTATGAAACACTTCCGCTCTATTACAAAATGAAAAAAAAAAATTTTTTGATACACCTTAAAATAAAAACAAACATAAAAATAAAACATAGCACATGAGTTAAGTCAAAAAAAAAATAAGAATAAAAAATATTCTCGTTATTAAAAATTATTCTCATTATTATTTTTCTCATTAGATATTAAATATAAAAAATTAAAATTTTGTTGTAACGTTTTTAAATTTATCAAAGATTCTTAGTCATTGGGTGTATAATCGAGCTAGGGATTACTTTCGGTGAGGCCTACGTGCCTCCTAGAGTATTTAGTTAGTTTTTTACCCTCTCGACAACGGGTTGCCTGTAAGGCAACTTTAGTTTGTAGAAGGTCAGATAAATCTTAGTGAGTGTTTGAGTGACCGAGAGTACAAGATTTATAACACAAGTAGTGTATTACTAATATGACTATTAATGTATTAGAAATGGATACTGACAAGATAGGCGTTACTGCCATCACGAAAAGGTATTGTCAAGCTGTAACCGATTCAAGTAAAAAACAACCTTTTAGGTATAGCATTTTAAGAAGGACTCTTTTGAGTCGTATAATTGAAAACGTTTAAGAGCTCGTTATTTTATCGGCTATTGAAGATGCAGGTTTAGATAATGATCTGGAAGCTTTTCAGATTATTCGTAACGAGATGATCGAGCTGGTCATGAAAACTGACAAAGCAAAGTCATTGCTCCAAGAAAAAGATCTATGTGTTAACGGTGTAATACAACGTTTCCACAATTCAACTCCGACAAGAAATATTAGTAAACGCATTACGGTATCCGTTATTGGATTACCTTTAGAAAAATACGGTTTTCCAGTTGGCGTAGCACTAGAAGAGTTAGGATATGGAAAGCATATCCATACAAGACCAGTGTTCAAAAAAATACCAAAGAATAAAACTCCGTACTTTTCGGGAATATTAGTTGTCATTATTGATAACCTTTTAAAACCAATACTAAGGAACCAAAGAATAAAGGGACACAATCTTAGAATTGTCTACACTGGACAAGAGCAAGCAGATAAAAATCAAAATGAAACACCAGGAGTAGTAATATCCGAAACAGAAAGGAAACCTTCAATAGAAAAAATAAACAATACTAAAAAAGAGAAAGAAAAAAGTAATGAGCCACTAATTAATAAAGAAATAGCTATTTTAACTATAGAAATAGCTATTTCTTCATTAATATTTAGCTATTTAGCTATTTAGCTATTTGGAACCAATATGAGTCTGAACGACGAAACTATAGAGTGCTTGTAAACGAGCAAAAAAGAGATGGGATGTTAACGCCAATTAGTTTTAATAATATGAATTCAGAAGAAATATATTCCTATAATATAAAAGAATTTATAAACCATGATAGCGAAGAATGTACGTTTGAAGAAACTAAGAGGTATGTAGCTCATAAAAAAGCAGAATGGGACCAACGAAAAAAAGAATTTGATCAGTTTGTTGAAGACCATGAAGTAAAACAAGAAGAAAGACGGAAAAAAATCCCACTAAACCAAATAAAAAGGCAAAAAAGATAAAAACTTAACGAATAAATGAAAATATAAAAACAAATAAAAAGAAATCACCCAATATAAACAAAACAAAATAAAAATATAAAACTACAAAAATACAAAATAAAAAAAATATTTAACCTAATAAAAAAAAAAAAAAAAAAAAAAAAGGTTACTTTTTATGTGTCCCTTGGACGACAAAGAAGATTGAGGAAGAGCGCATGTTAAGTGAAAGAAAAGATTATAAAAATACGTCTGTTTGCGTCAAATAACACAATGAAATCATTTTTAGTACACTTGCAAATCTTAAAAATCTACTTATTCCTGAAGTTTAGTGAGATTTTTTATTGCCTTTGAATGAAATTTTGCTCATTCGGTTTTTGACTAAGCAGAAGTATAAAAACTTTCTTGTTCTGTTCACAAAAAACGAATTTTTTGTGTGCTGTGGTCATGAAATCAAAGTTTTTGCTTAATCTAGTTGTTTTTCCAGTCTTAAGGCGTAAGCAACTGAAAAGAGGATAAAATCATGCTTTATTGTATAATTTGAAATTACGTTAGTAATTATAGCCAACTTATAAACCAAATTTATTTAGAAAATGTAAATATTTTTGATTTTTTTTTCAAAACTAATTCAATTTCAACAAGGCTGCAGGCAACCACTATTAAATTGTCAGATATTAGAAAACAAAGAGTAGTGTTACAAAACAAAGAAGCACTTAACATAAGATTTAAAAAGCTAAAAGTTTTATGAGTCAGGAAAATATAAAGATGGGAGAGTTCCAAAACATTAAAGTGCGGAAAATAAACTGAATAAATACAAGTTTCTAGAGTATTTAGGAACAGATACAGTAAAATAATAAAACTTTGCCAAATAACGAGTCAATCAAAATGAGTTTTGTTTGATGAAATTAGAGATGATAGCTCCTTTGAGCAGTGAACATTATAGTATTTATAGAGAAGAGAAGGAGATGCAACCTTACGGTGATGGGAAAGTGGAGTATACTAGGCCGATAGAGCTGGTCCAATTATATTTACAGAGCAATATTTACGAAGCAACATTAGAAAATGCTAACTTTGTAACAGATTATATATATGGTTTCCATGAAAGGTCAAAAATGAATGATAATCAAAAAAGACGAAAAGTACAGGAGAAAATTTATTATTTAAAGTCTTGAAAAATCAAAATTTAGTCAAACAGAAAAGATAGTAGAACAAATATGCTAAATATGAAAATCTTTTTGCTTTATTCGAGAAATGTATATTTTTTAAAGATTTTGATAAAGAAATAAAATTTAGCAAGTTTTAAAAATAATATTTTTTCTTTTAACTTTTTAAAATAATTTTACTAAAAATAGAATATATAGAAAGCACTATTTAAAAAATAGTGCTTTCTACTAAACCAACAATAGGTTAATATAAATATAAGATTGGCACAATGTTTGCTGTTAAAGTCAATAATGCACTATAAAAATTTGAAACACGTGATATTGATGGGATTTGCTTAACTTGTATTTTTTTTAGTAGTTGTTAAATATTTAAATGCAATCCTTTTATTGCTCTTTCACTAAATTATGGGTGAAGTGCCGTGGTTTTGAGTTAAGTCTGGAACATGGTGGAAAACTGCATATGCCACAGCCAAAAAGAGTTACTAAAAAGATTGAATTTTTAAAAAAATCTGTCGTCTAATTTTCATCCAAAACGTAAACTAACAATCAATCTAAAGAACACGAAAGTTTTAACAAAGCTTATCGCTTAATATGTAGCCTTTTAAATTTTTTCGACATCCTTTTAAAGATTATTCCATTCATTCCCTAAAAATTAACGTGAAATGACTGTATTTGAATGTTTAGTATTGTCTTTTGCGTTTGTAAAAAACGAAAATAAAGTACAAAATAAATATGAAGCTCCATTGGAACGAAATAAAGATGAAGCTCCATAACACATTACGTTATCACTCCTCACACCATCAAACATTCTTTTTTTCTTTGATGTGTTGGTTTGAATTGAAATATTTTTAAATTTAATTAAATATACGATATTCAAAATGTAACGGCTTACTTGTTTCGTTCCTTTTTGAATAAAAAAGTAAACGTAAATGCTCTTATATACATTCATCCAGAAATTATTATTGACCCAGACATGGTTATCAATGAGTTTGTCTTGAGCACATGTAAATTGGATTTTGTGTAATAAGAAAGAGACCTGTGTTTATAAAACTGCAGTCAACTGGTGTTTATATGCTTGTTTATAAACTAAATGAGTCTACTGTGTTTATGAACTTTCATTTGGTTTTAATGAATTAATGTTTATTAATTTGTAATTAACTGGTATTAATAAACCTATCTTATAATTTATATGCCTGTCTCGCATAAAATGCAGTTTTATGTTAAAATAATACCGCAAAAATGATTATCTTGTTTTACCTACATTTACAACCCTCCGACAACTTGGGAAAGATATTCGCTCCCAAGAATTACCCCCTCCCTTACCACCACTGCCACTGAATCTTGTATCCGCCCCAATCAAGTAAATTAATTTTTCAAATGTAGGATAAATAAAAAATGGGAAAGAGGGTTACCATCCCTTGTAAGCTTTTTATTACTTTTAATAACTACATAGCAGCTTAGAAATAATTGCAATACGCTAAGCGGAAAATAACTTTAGATTATTTTTGTTTTATTTCTGACAAAAACTTATGTTAAGTTAGTATATATTCAGTGTATGTAATTTTTAAGTTTTTTATCAAAATATTAAAAATTGATCAACTCTCTCGATAAAATTTTAAACATTTAAAACATTTACTTTATCATACCTGTATGATAGTACTTCAAAGGAATTTTCTTGTGCATTGCTTTAAAGTTTACAGTGTAAACAATAGATTTTTACAAACTAAGTCTAAAATAAAAATTACTATTTTTTATTTTTATTATTGACTTGGCCGAATTTTTAGTAGATGGTACCGGGTATATTTTTTATCCTGGGTATTTTTTAATAAAATGGTTTATAAAACCTTTTGCGCGGATAACTTGGCGCTAAATAGCGCTAACTAATTTTCGTTATTTAATCAGAAATTCGATTGTTAATTTTTTAAACATATCTACAACAGTATACTTATAGATTTTTTTCAAAAAAGCAGTTAGTGTACCCAGTGCCGCGTACTATTGAAAAACGGGTAGTTTCAGGTATCCGGCCGTTTTACGAAGTCTTCGGATTCAAATTGATTACTCGGCATATCTCTAATTAAAAAATTCAAATTTTGAAAAAGTTTAAATTATTAAAAAAAAAAAAGATTAACTTACGTTTTCAATAAATGAAGGTAGACTTAACTTTGGAATAATAATAACGAGTTTTTCTAACTTTATTTCACTTTGTGTAAGCGGACAACGGCAGTTCCAACCTTGGTCCACTACTTCTGATGGGCATTTGATGTTTTGTAAAAGATCACATGGATTTGAGTAATTACTTAAAATAAGTCATTAAACCTAAATCTTAATTTGCATTTGAAGTAGTTAATTAAATATTAATTATTTAAATTATTATGTAAAAAGTAAATTAAAAGCACAATACTAATTTTGGCCTACAATTCAATAGGATGTTCAAAGTATATTTCATATTAATCACATTTCAGTTTTAGTTTGATTTACACTTGGCTGTTTTTTTTTACTTTTATTTAAAAGGGATATAGAAGGGTACTTTGATAACAACTTGAAAAGTTTAAAAATCATTTAAAAAATGTACCGTTAGAGAAGTTACAAGAAAAAAGATATTTATTTGAAAAAAAAAGTTTTTTTTAAAAAAACAAGTGTTCATCTAGTAAGGGGTTATCCATAAATTATGTCAACAAAATAGGGGGGAATGGGGGTCTGAATTTTTTCGACATTTGTTGACAAAGGGGAGGAGGAGGTAAAGAGAAGTTGACGTCAACAATGTTACTTTTTTTAATAAATTTAGTTACTTAAAAATAGAAAAAATTTTGTAGCGTTTGCAGTCCTGTGTTACATACTTGCCAAACCTTCAGTACTTTAATAAAGCTATTTATATTCCTAAATTTTAAAAACTGCGTTGTGTTTTAAAAAGACCCGACACGCATAGAACTAAATAAGCACACACGCATAGAACTAAATAAGCACACACGCATAAAACTAAATAAGCACAAAACAATAAAGATTTATGCAAGTACTTGGTCTACACTATATTATTTAAACTTTAATACCAAGTGTGGGCAACCTGTAGTTGATGCGGCTCGTTAGCTCCATGCAGCGCCGGTTCAATGATTTTTTTTTGGTATATGCGAGATCACGGTTTGGCGCCCCGAATTTAAAAAAAAGTGTTTACGTCAAAAATATTTGAAAATAAATACTTTGAGAGTTTGTATTTTTATTTGTTATCAAATAAAAGTAGAATAAATATTACTAACATAACTGTTTCTTAAAAATTGTTAATTAAGAAAAACTCCTTTCTCCGCTGGCCACTGATACCGGGATCAAAAACAAAATTTTCAGTACTACGCATACATTAGGAATGATGTCAATTAAACAGTTTTAAAAATGTTGACAATGACAATGTTGTTTTGGGGAAGCTATTGTTTTGCAACATTAGAGCTAAAATTATAATTTTACCTAACAGATTGTTCCTGTTGACGTCACTCTTGCCATCAACTGTCAAAACGAAGTATAAGTTTTTGGGCTTTTCTTTAACTGCATCTGTTTCACATTTTATACTTTTTATGTTATAGAGGAATTCGAAATGCTTCCTGCGAATTTTCATCTCTTCAAATTTTTCATTATTTGCAGTGACTAAACTACAAAATTTACAAAAATTTTGGACTTGGCCTAGGCCACAACAATTAAGGCCAAGTCCAAATTTTTAAGACCAAGACCAAGGTCAAGGTCAACACATTTAAAGCCACGGCCAACGCCAAGGCCTAAATTTTTGGCTTTAAGGCCAGGCCAAGGCCAAGACCAAGACCAAGGATTAACAACTCTGGCTAGACCACAACTTCATCAGAGAACTTTAGATCGATGCAGAGGCGTCTCGAAGGGGAGAGTAGGAGGGTGACTAGCTCCCCCTACAAAATTTATTAATCGGCATATTGGACACTGGAGTTGGCAAAATTGGATCTATAGCTGGCAGTTAGGAAATGTTTTTTTAAGATCTTTTCGGTAAGGCCCTGGAACGATATCCAGTTTTTCCCAACGAGTTTTCCATGGAGGATTAATAATCAAGCTGTTTACATATTTTTTTAATGTACTCCATTTAAGGGTCAATCCAGAAAAAAATTATAAACATCCTAAATATTGCTGAAAAATTTAACTGCTAGAGTGCAGGAAAATGCTTAATCGTTGACAACAATTTTAGTGAATGGCTTTCACAAAAAAACAAAAAAAGCTGGTGGGTCAAGGTCAATGATCTTTGTATGTCTATGTTCTTTCTCTTTATGTTTGATCAGCTATAAAACCTTTGCGATACATATTTTGCATGGATGTTCTTTTTTTAAAAAGCTCGTCTAACAAGTAAGCAGTCAACTCTTGCCCAGATATTTCTGAGACATAAAAAAATACAAGAAAATGTTCCTTCACCTTTACTTCTTCTCCTGCAACTGTATATGCAAACCAAACTACATATACCTTTTGTTCTTTACAAATTACGTCAGGAGTTCAGTCAAGATTTATAGAATAATACAAAATTTTCTACAGTTCACACAAGATAAACTCAATAACTTTACAGGAAAGAACACCAATAAACTCTTTTTGAACTTTTTTTGCCCAAAGAATATAGATGATTTTTTTAGGCAGTTACCCGACGAAAATGTTCAGAAAGAACAGTGTTAAATTTTGAAATGGGTTCAAAAAGTTTCCATTGTTTGCTTTGAAAACTGTTTCACTTGTTCCACGAAAAGTTCTTGAGTAGCAAGGAATTGCACAAAGAGAAGAGTTAAAACTAAAGTTTTTGTTTTAAAACAAAACTTTTTACTGTATTTTTATACATTTTATATTTTTTAAGAAAAGGCTAAATCTTAAATAAAAATGAAATTGATGTACTTTTACTTGATTGTAAATTAAAGCGCTTTTGTGCAGAAAAAGATATAGCTGTATAGATTCAACTGTTTTATCCAGAGTATCATTTAAATCTTAGGACTGTGAATTTTCTCCCGACGTCTTTTGCGCTTAGAGTACAAGTTGTTTTATTTTATGTTTGTTTTGATTTTAATTATGGTTAAAAGTACACCCAGCACTGAATATCAAGAAAAGAATATTATAAAAATAGAAACTAATGGTTATTAAGGCTTAAACAAAGGGTAACCGATTACCTTTTTAACTTATTATAATTTTGTATTTATTAACAAAGTTAATTGTAATAAATTCACTCTTATATCGTATCTTATCGTATCTGCACTTGATGGTTTTTATCGTTTGGATCTTGTTTTTCCAGTCTATAGAAAAATTTAATCAATGTATTTGTTTGTTTTTTTAACCTCTCTCTATTTCTGATTTGCGTCTCTATGATAAAAAAAACCCCAAAGATTTTTTTCCGTCATGATGACTTAAAAACTTTTTCTTTCATATAACTAACTATAGTTAGTTATATAAAATATAGTATACTATTTTTTGCTGTAATTACTTTTTCATTGAAATGCAGAAGCAAATACTTACAAAATCAATAGTTTACAATTAAATAAACATTTATTATGATTTAAATAAACAATCAACTCACAAAATTATTCTTTCAAACAAATAGTTAACTGCTACCCTCGATCTAGTTATTTTTTTACTGAAGTGCTGAGAAAAAATGTAAAAAATCATTAGTCTTGCAAATAAAGTTTGGCGCCCCTAATATGTAAACAATTCAGTACATATACACATTATGAAGGCTAAAAAATGTAAATTAGTTTATTTTTTTAAAACTGAAATTTAAAATTTTAATAAATTAAAAGAAAAAAAAAAAAAAAACGTTGGCAACGCCAGCGCGACGCCTCAGCCAAGCCGGCGCCCTATGTGACCGCAAGTATTGATATAATATTGAAATAAAGATTTGGTAGATGATTTGAAAAAAAATTTGAAATAAAGATATTGGTAGTTCTTTAAAAATTCTGTTTTTAAAGTGTCACTAACATCTTTATTTCAATATTATATTCATTTTGTGCATGGAGCTAAAGAGGTGCATCTTGACATCGAATGAACCTCACGAGGTTTGCAATCTGCTTAAAAACCATTTAACTTTTCTGT